GCGCTAAGGTTTCACTTTTTTTTTTAATGAAAGATTGTTTGATTTCCTGCTAGCGAGAACCGGTATAAATGCAATGCCACCCAAAGAAAGAAATTGTTTGTGCTTTAATTAATTAATTATTAACTTGATTAATGATTTGCGTACATTACTTAGCCCATTGCTTCTTTATAAAAAACAAACTTTATTTTAGTGGTATTTTAAATAACACAAAATAAGCTTTCATTCTATTTAATTCCATTTTTAAAATAAACACATTAATATTGTATTCCTTTGATAATTAGCTTTTAGACAACCGAGTTGCGCCTCCGAAGCGTCAATATATTGTAAAGACTCTATCTATCTATCTATCTATCTATCTATCTATCTATCTATCTATCTATCTATCTATCTATCTATCTATCATAGATAGATAGATAGATAGATAGATAGATAGATAGATAGATAGATAGAATCTATCTATCTATCTATCTATCTATCTATCTATCTATCTATCTATCTATCTATCTATCTATCTATCTATCTATATATATATACATATATTTATATATTTATATATATATATATATACATATAAAAGTATGTATGTAGGAATGTATGTATGTATGTATGTATGTATGTATGTACGTACGTATATGTGTATGTATGTACGTATGTGTATGTACGTAAGTGTGAATGTACGTATGCACATATGTGTGTATGTTTGTATGTATGCATTTATGCGTGTATGTATGTATGCATGTATGTATGTATGCATGTATGTATGTATGTATGATGTATTTATATATGTATGTATGTATGTTTGTATGTTTGTATGTATGTATGTATGTATTTATTGATGTATATATGTATGCATGTATATATTTATGTATGTATGTATGTATGTATGTATGTATGTATGTATGTATGTATGTATGTATGTATGCATGTATGTATGTATGTTTGTATAAATGAATGTATGTATGTATGTATGTATGTATGTATGTATGTATGTATGTATGTATGTATGTATGTATGTATGTATGTATGTATGTATGTATGTATGTATGTATGTATGTATGTATGTATGTATGTATG